GTGCGAGGAAGCCCCGCGAAGGCCCTCCCTGGCCCCAGGCAGGCAGGGGTGGGGAGAGGCAGGGAGGAAGCAACTTACCCTCCCTCTTCTCCTGCCTCCTCCTGGCTGAATGAGGGCTGGAAGCGGGGCGGCCGGAAGCAGGGGGCGGGGCTTCGTCATGTACCCCGCCCCCCTGCACCTCACCCGGGGGAACTGCGTTCCCCCGCGTTCCCCCCCGAAATGACCTCTGTTCATGGGTGACACGAGGCTGCCACTGAAAACGGCACCTGCACGGTCCTTTCCACCTGTATCGACTTACTCGCCATTGTGATATCATTTGTGTGGGGCATTTTCATAAAGAAACGATGAAGAGGGGAATGCACCATATATAAATGGCTTACCACATAGCCCGTGAAAAAACAAAATGGCCACTTGGATTGAATCCTGATGGCGATTTCTCCTTCCTCCCCACGAGGTAGAATATTGCCGTTTTCATCTATGATCTAGAAAATGGCAAAAATGGCAGCCGGTCTGAGTGATGTTTGATCGAGAAACAAAACCTCCCAGCTTCCTTTGAATGCAAATATTCAGATGCCGTTCTTGATCCTCGTTTTCCACATCTGATTCACAAACAAGCTGCTGTCTTACCTGAACGTCGTATGGTGGAATTGCCTTACCCATGGAGCCAGGTTTAATTTTCTTTCCTTTCTCAGATACAGATATCACCCCCTATAGCAAACAAAATTTTAAATCATGTGAGGCTTTTAAAATATTTTGAAGCTAGTGTTATTGGGCTGGAAAAGAGCATCCATCCATTTCTTAGGAGATCTGTGAAGGCTGAATGCTATCATGTATCACAGAGTCAAAAGGGGCCCCGTGTTATCCTGTCGCAGCAAGCACAGAATCTCCTCAAGACTCTTTGAGCCAAATCCTCTGGAACTGACCATTCTCAACCTGCTGAATCTGCTGGAGGTAAGATTGGTGAGCACACGGGAGACGGCCTTCTTGGTGTTTGCCCCCAAGCTCTGGAATTAATTATTGTTATTATTACCCTGCTATCATGTATGTTCACAGATTCCAAAGGGGACCCGTGTTATCCTGTTGCAGCAAACACAGAATCTCCTCAAGACTCTTTGAGCCAAATCCTCTGGAACTGACCATTCTCAACCTGCTGAATCTGCTGGAGGTAAGATTGATGAGCACACGGTAGACGGCCTTCTTGGTGTTTGCCCCGAGCTCTGGAATTAATTATTATTATTATTACCCCTTCATTGATGGCCTTCTGGAGATCAGTTAAGGCACACTTTTTTGACTGAAGAAAAACTATATTTTAAAGATTTGTGTGGATTTTGTTGCTTTTATTTTAATATTGTGGCTGCTTTGAGATTCTAAAGTTTGGAGTTAGATCAGGATTGGCTACGGGATGGATTCCAACAGCTGCTACTTACCTTGGTTTATTCTTATTATTTCTGTACTTTGTTTTCATTTTCTTGATTTAATTCAACCTGCTGAATCTGCTGGAGGTAAGATTGATGAGCACACGGTAGACGGCCTTCTTGGTGTTTGCCCCGAGCTCTGGAATTAATTATTATTATTATTACCCCCGCCCCCAGCGTGCCCGGCGTCATAACGTCACTTCCTAGTGACGTGCATGCGGCGCGCGCACCGGGAGCCGCCCGGGAGTTTCCCGCAGAGGAGGTAAGTGCCACTTGGCAACCCTACTGCTATGAGATTCTAAAGTTTTGAGTTAGATCAGGATTGGCTACGGGATGGATTCCAACAGCTGCTACTTACCTTGGTTTATTCTTATTATTTCTGTACTTTGTTTTCATTTTCTTGATTTAATTGGTTTATTTCTGATCCTGCAAACTGCCCCGCGCGAGTGTGTGTTTTAAATTAGAAGGGTGGGCTATGAATCTTCCAAATCAATCAACAGCTCTCCCTGAGGTGATCTCCGGGCCTTGATTATATACCACATTTGGGTGGAAGGCGTGCGTAATGGGGTTCAAGTACAACCCTCTTGTTGTGTACCAAGGGAGGTCGCGCACGCGGTCGGGCTCGCATGTGGCCATGCAGACGGGCTAAGCTTCGCATCCTAAGACAGTAGAAGCAGAGGATTCAAGAACTAGCCAATCGGCCAGCCCGGATCCTAAAAGGAACCAATGGTGGGAGTTGTTTGTAAATAAACCAATCACGGGTGTGTGTGGTTAAGAACAGGAATATAAGTGGGCCATGGGCCCCGCTAGTTATCTCAAGTTCTCCTATGCATGAATAAAGTATGAGCTGAAATCACTACGCTATGTCGCAGTACTTTATACCTCTGTAGCTGCCTTTATGTTTGTTGACATCCATTTTCATAAACAGGGGAAGCTTATGCATGCTTTCTGGTCTGTGAGCATGGCATTAATGTGCGGACTTAATGTATGTGTATAGGCTGTGTTCCAGCGATAATTTATTATTTTTTTAAAAAGCAGTGTTTCAGTTCCTGGGGATGGAGCTAGTGATTACACATGAGAATCTGAGAATCAGAGAGTTGCATGCTTTCTGGTCTGTGAGCATGGCATTAATGTGCGGACTTAACGGATGTGTATAGGCTGTGTTCTAGCGATAATATATATATTTTTAAAGCAGTGTTTTAGTTCCTGGGGATGGAGCTAGTGATTACACATGAGAATCAGAGAGTTGGAAGGGGCCATCCAGGCCATCTAGTCCAACCCCCTGCTCAATGCAGGGTCAGCCTAGAGCATCCCTGACAAGTGTTCGTCCAGCCGCTTCCTCTGCTGCCAACAGGAACAGCTCCCTGCCCTCCTCTAAGTGACAGCCCTTCAGATACTTGAAGAGAGCTATTATGTCCCCCCTCAACCTCCCCTTCTCCAGACTCAACATTCCCAAGTCCCTCAGCTTTTCCTCACAGGGCTTGGTCTCCAGACCCCTGATCATCCTCATCGCTCTTCTCTGCACCTCTCAATTTTGTCCGCATCCTTTTTGAAGTGAGGCCTCCAGAACTGCACACAATACTCCAGGTGCGGCCTGACCAATGGCAGTATATAGTGGGACTATGACATCTTGTGATTTGGATGTTATGCCTCTGTTGAAACATCCTGAGATGGCATTAGCCTTTTTTGTCGCCGCATCACCCTGGCTGCTGATATTTAGTGCACACAATACTCCAGGTACGGCCTGACTAATGCAGTCTTGCGATTTGGATGTTATGCCTCCGTTGAAACACCCTGAGATGGCATTAGCCTTTTTTATCGCCGCATCACCCTGGCGGCTGATATTTAACTTACGATCTACTCTTACCCCAAGATCTTGTTCACACACACACTGCCTACCCAGTAATATATCCTCCATCCAGCATGCGTGTGCGTTCACACGAGGGCAGAGCCACTCTGGCCCACTCCCCTTCAACACACACTGGAATGTTCCCTTGAGAAGGCCGAATTCGTCTGTCTGCTTTTGGTGCCCCCAAATAAGGAGCCCAGCCAACACTCAGCTCCCCTCTTGCGTAAATCGATCACTTTGTGGGAAGTGCTATAATGGCACCAAATTGGGTTACCAACTCTGGGTGGGGAAATACCTGGAGATGTTGGGGGCGGAGCCTGAAGAAGATGGGGTTTCGGTAGGGGGGACTTCAGTGGGGCATAATGCCATAGAGTCCACCTTCCAAGGTGGCCATTTTCTCCAAGGAAACTGATCATCATTGCCTGGAGAGCAATCGTCGGAGATCAATCGTAATAGCAGGAGATCTCCAGCCCACCACCGGGAGGTCTGCAGCCCGGCACCAAACAAACGTGTTCACTGATTCCTGTACTGGTTCCAATATAGACCGCGAGTCCCCAGTTTTGATTCCCCAGTTGAAAGGTTTGCTCCCTAGTTTGATTCCCCGGTGATGGTTTTTGGGGTTTTTTGCCTCGGCTGCCACTTACCACTTCGGTCTGACCGTAGCCTTCGTAGAGGTCCAGCCCCGTTTGTTTTTTCCACTGCACCATCACTTCCGGATTGAGAGGCTCCCCTCCTGTCAAGCAGTGACTTAGACTCTTGAACCTGTACCTTTTAGGTTTATAAAAGAAATAGGATTGGTGATGGTGGTCAATGTTCCCTCTAAGCTGAGTTAGTGTGAGCCAGCTCACAGTTTTTTAGCCTCTGGCTCACACATTTTTGTCTTTGCTCAGGAAGGATGGCTCCAGAGCAAACTAATTTAGGCAGCAGCCAAATCGGTCGCTCACAACTTTAATGCCAGGAGCTCACAAAGTAGAATATTTGCTCACAAGACTCCACAGCTTAGAGGGAACATTGGTGGTGGTGGGGTGTGTGTGTGTGGGGGGGGGGTTGAGACACCATCAAAAAAGTTTTTCTTCCTTGTGGTCTTTCCCTCTGCATGGCATTAGCAGGAGGGTCAGAGACATCCGGGTGGATCCAATCAGTTTTTCTGCTGGAGAATAAGCATGGAGGGTTCCCCTCTGACCCCTTAAAGGGTGTTTGCTAAGGACCATGTGGAGAGGCAGATTGGGGGGTGGGTGGGAGAAAGTTAAAAGGCTGGCTGGATCCACCCCCATCTGTTTTAGTGATAGCTGTGGGGTTAGCAACCACCGATCTTCACACACACCAGCAGGCAGTACGGACGTGACTGCAGGGGTGGTCTTAGTGATTCTGGGACCAAGGATAAACGTATGGAGCAGAGGTCCATCTGTGGCTATTAGACACAAGGTATAGATAGGAACTCTCGGTCTGGGGCAAGTGATGCTCTAGAGGTATTCTTGGTGCTTGGGAAGAGTGGGAGGGCTTCTAGTGTCCTGGCCCCACTGGTGGACCTCCTGATGGCACCTGGTATTTTTGGCCACTGTGAGACACACAGTGTTGGACTGGGTGGGCCATTGGCCTGATCCAGCATTGGCTTCTCTTATGTGCTTATGCTCTTATCCTGGGGGCAAAACTCTTTGATGGGGATCCAGAATCACTCAGGGTCACCTGCAGGGCAATGAGGGACTCCAGCTACTCTGCAGATGGTCACCCTCCTTCCTGTGCTGCTTCAGGCAGTGTGTGTGTGTGTGGGGGGGGGAGACCCTGACTGCTCTACAGCTGGTCGCTCTCCCCACCACACTGCCAAGGTCTTCGACAGCACGGGAGACCAGCAGTGACGATGGCGGGAGCTTCAGGGCAGTGGCAAGGAGGGCAGTGCCTGCTGCAAGGCCGTGGGGGCTGCCAGTGTGCAGAGCCAGGGGAACCTGCCCAGGATGCCCTGTGGCTTAAGACCACCCCTGTAGGACAGCACCTGCAGATCCCAGCACACGCATCTGTGAAACAGATGACTGCACCAGATGATTGGTGGTGTTTTTAGAAATATACAAGTAAGCTCCGTCTCCTCCACCCCCCTCCCCGCTCGATCTCCCTGAGGCGGCGGCGGCGAGGCCGGCTCCCCCCCTCCACCCGGCTCCGTTGCGGCGGCGGCGGTGGCAAGGCCGGTCCTCCCCCCCTCCCTGGCTCCGAGGCGGTGGCGGCGGCGAGCCCGGTCCCCCCCCTTTGCACTTTCCCTTCTTGACAGCGGCTGTTCCCTCCTGCCGGCAGCTCCCTGGAGCGAGCGCGCCCATCGCACGCTGGGTTCTCAGGCTTGCAGCCGCAGAAGCCGGCCGGGCATGGAGCAAAGCAAGGCGGGTGTGTGTGTGTGTTTGTGGGCGTTCCCGCCCGCGTGCCCGCGTTTGTGGCCTGTTCTCTTCCCCTTCACCCGCCCTACATCCTCTGCGGTGCTCTGCACCCTCCGGCGGCTGGTGGCAGGCTCAGTGCATCCACTGAAGAGGTAACAACAGCGCCCCTTCCCGCCCTGCTTTCTTTCAGTGTGGTTGGGCCACGGCTTTTGAAGCGGCCCAGCGCTGCCGCTATCCAGCTGTCATGCCGGGACGTATGGCGCTTTATCTGGGAAAGGCTCCACTTTCCCCCCTTCATCAGGTGGCGGGGCTGGGGAAGGCATTTAAATGCCTCCCCGCTCTGTCTTGGGCCCTTCGTGGCTTGGCCTGCTCGGGGGCCGGGCGGCGGTGAGGCCGGTCCTCCCCCCTCCCCGCCCGGCTCCGCGGCGGCGACGGCGAGGCCGGCTACAGAGCGTTCCCTGCGCATGCGCAGGGGACGCTCTGTCACTTTCGGGGGGATTTAAACATCCCCCCGAAATTTTTTTCAACTTTTTTTATTTTTGTGCACCCCTGGGGACTGCCCCAAGAGTGCACAAAACTCTCCCTGCCCCCCAGGTGGCCCCGGAACGCGGATTTAGCGATCCGCACAGACGGGGCCACTTGACTATTAGATATATAGATATATTGTTGAAATATTTGAAGAATAGATCATCCTATAAACCTGCCACTCATGCATACAGTTCTGAGCTAGCTGGACCAATGGTCTGATGCAGTATAATGCTTCTCAGGGGTCATTTCGTAGAAAAAGAGGTGCAGGAGCTCATTTGCATAGCTCATTAGCATAATTTATTTGCATAGGCCACATCCCCCGACAAAGGGCAGGAAGGCAAGCATGCCTGGATTCCCTACTCCTGGGCTCGTTACTCCCAGAACGCTGTTCCTGCTCGTTCCCCCTCGAAATGACCCCTAATGTTTCTGCATTTTGCATTTGAAGTGGGAGCACTGAACAGATTAGTCTGCGGGTCAGACGTAGATCGACAAATTGGGTGCTTTTAAAAAAAATATATTGCAAGGCTGAATGACTATGGGGAAGGACAGAGCTCGTACGTTCCTTGCATCAGCAAATGAGTGACAGGTACCTGGTAAGATCCTGTTGTACCAGCATGCGATAGACAGTCGGAGCACTGCACATTGTAGTTACTGGGTACCGGACGAGAGTCTGAAGAGATTGAAAAAGGGGAAGACGTTGTGAGTTTGCTTAGAATAATATGAATCCATATATCCCAACGTAGTTGTCATTTGCACCCTCAGATTAGGTCCCCCTGAGACAGTATTTTGGCCTAGCTGGCCATCTGTGTGGGAAATAAACCCAACCGTATGACGCGATTTGTCCTCTTACATCCAGAGTCTCTCTTGGATCAAACTGTGGCATGTGGTGTATAAAGACACTGGAGCCACGAAGCCACGGAGCAAAAACACTCCCGATGGCAGCCTTGACCCAGCCGGTGTCAGACATGTTCCACATGATATCTGAGGGTTTCAAATCCAGCCAGTACCTGTGAAATACAGAAAGGAATGGGTCGGGACCCAGATTAAGTCATAAAACATCCTCCCTTCCAGCATCTATAGCTGTGTCCAGAGCAGGCCCCAAGCTACAGTGGGGCGTCTCGGGGCTAGGCCCCCTGACTTACTGGCAAGGCCCCCTGACTTCCCATCCAGCCCAGAGCCCCTGAGCGGCAGCAGGTGCGGGGAAGGAGCCGGGTATTCCTTCAATTCGATTAGCCAGTGCCCCCTAAGGCATTTAGATGCCCCTGACTTAAAAATCCTGGCTACGGGCCTGGTCCAGAGATATTTAGGCAGGATATGAGTGTATCTACACTACAGACTTATAAACTAGTTTTATACTGGTATAATTGACATAGTTCTTCCCTCCCCAGAGATGTCTGGGAATTGTAGTTTGGTGAGGCTGCTGAGCATTAAGGTGGAGTACCCTAGCGCTCTCCACAGCACTCCCAGGACGTTTTAGGTAGGAACCAGGACTTAACTAAACTCAGCCAGACCAGGGGAAAAGTGATCAAGAGTAGAATCAGAGCACATACATACCTCGCTGTCAAGGCACACCCAATGCCATAACTGCTGTGGCTGTGCTCCGCCATCTTGGGAGGGCCTGTGGTTCCACTTGTGAAGTAGATAGTCATGGGTTCATCGCTCTTGGTTTTAATGCAGTTGTGGCTGGAAGGGGCCACTCTTAAAGGAAAGAGAAGGAAGTGTGGTGGAAATGTTTAAGGAAGCTGATTCATTACATGTTGTAGAAGAGTTCCCCAACGTGCTGCCCACCAGTACTTTCTCAGGCACCTGCTGAGCCTTTCAGAAAGAGAGCGAGGCGATGGTAAGGCCGGGTTTGTTACTAGGTGCCCTGATCCAAATGAAAGGGGGTTTGGCGGCTGCGATAGCAGCTGCAGCCGTTGAAGGATCAGGAGAACTCAGGGTTGTGGTTCCATTCTCCCTTTAGGCTTTTCCTTTTTTTATTCCCCCCTCTCTTTAGGGTGGCCAAACTCTAGGAGGTAGCTGCAAATCTCCCTGACTGACAATGGATCTTCAGGCTGCAGAGATTAGTTCCCCTGGAGAAAATGGCTTTTTTGGAAGGTGGATTGTATGGCATTATACCCCACCAGCATCCCTCCCCACCAACATAACCCGCCCTCCCTCGCCTCCACCCCCAAAATCTCCAGGAATTTCCCAACCCAGAGTTGGTAGCCCTCCCTCCACCCCTCAGGCTCTCTATTTCTTTTTATTTTATCCTATTTTTTTAACAAAGCAAGGAGAGAGGTATTGTGTTTGGCTCCATCTCCTG